AGCAAAACCGACACAAACTGAAGACAAAACTAGTGAGAATCCTAAGTATTAAAATGATTCAACTTAGCTTATGGCTATAATTTTTCTTGGTAATCCTATGCAATATATTATGCCATTTAGGCTTTGTTATGTAGTCAATATCACTTGCTTTATATTTGTGGAAAGACATCTATCTATATAATTATTGTGCATTATGTAGTCATTACGCCTATAGTAGAAAACTTTCCGTTTACAGAAAAACTAGAGCCAATTGACAAATTTCATTGTTATATTTGAACTCAGAATGTGAAATTCATTAAGAAATGGATCCTTTTCTTTCCAAAACTGGCAAAAAAAATAAAAATTTGTTTGAACAGTGTAACAGAACAAAATAAGATTTATAAACCGCTCACATACCTTTCACCATTTTTGTTACCCGTGTCTGACTCATTCTATCTTATCAATATCTTTTTGTAAGTGTGTTCTCCAGAACTGGACACTGTATTCTAAATAAGGTCTAACTAAAGATCTATATAGGGGAATCAGGACCTCTTTCCTCCTGCTGGTGACCCTTCTAGTGATGCATCCTAGAATTCTATTCGCTATCCCCTGCCCGGCCACACTGTTTGCTCATTTTGCAATCATTTGAAAAAGTACCGCCAAATCATTTTCCTCTGAAGTGCTGGCCAACACTGTACCCCTAATGTCGTACTCTCTATTTGCTTCAGAACAGCAAGTAGATCAACATACATTTTAAGGAATGGGAGAAAAAGAAGTATCAGGGGAGCAAAGCCCAGTCACATGACTTGTTAAAGTCAAGTACATTCAAGTTTTCAACCTATCACAGACTTTTCTCTGCAGCAGTATGGAGACAACATACTAAACAACACTGCAGGCTTCAAACCAAGGCCAGCATTTTACAAAGAACTCTGAAAACACAGGTGCCATGTGGAGTCCTATTATGGTGTCCTTGTGGACAGCAATTTCTTCTCTCCATTTTAAATAGAACCCAAAGATTTGGGCATGGCTAAAAGTATATGTGAATATGTACCCTTTAAAACAACCCAATCAATTTAAAATTGAAATGAAAGACAAAACATTTGTGTATATGTATATATATATATATAATTAAAAAATACTTTTTTTTTTCATTTTTATACGTGATCACATACCCTCTGTTCTCAGCTGCATACGGGTTAGAGAAGCAGCAGCAGTACACTGGCTGTGCAGTGTGGAGGGGTGTCAGCACACGTCTTGGCCTTTGGAGGACAGGCAGGCTATTCTTCCAGCACAGCCAGAAAACTAACCAGGCTGAGATAGATGTGTTCTTATGCCTAGCATGGTCAGATTGAAACAGGAGAGCAGGGGGACTGGTAGGATTACCAGGGATTTCACGCAAAGGAAGCAATACAAAGAGAACAGGATACTTTTTCATACAAGTACATGGTACAGCAGACACATATCAGGAATATGAATTGTTAGGATAATATACTCTTTAACCAGTAAACAACAAACTCACAATAAAAAGGAATATTAAAATGACACCAAGTCCACCATTTGTCTCTGTATATACTGTGTATAGCTAAAGTTGCTATATTACTTTTTGATGAAGCTACAAGTTATGCTCACTGTGCCCAGATATATATATATATATATATATATATATATATATATATATATATATACACACACACACACACACACATACATACATACATATACACATACATATACACACATACAGACAGTATATAAATATATTGCCACAGAGAAAAATGGAATTCTGAATGAGAAAGCAGCTAAGCAAAAAGAACAAAACATGGTCCGCTGTGTCAAATTTTGTTAAGTGATTAGTCAGCAAAGCCAGATTACGGCTGCACTCTCTGGAGGAAACCACTGCCTCGGGCTCACATTAGAACAGCTCTTGACTTGAGAAATATATGTGTTCTCCTGCAGCCGAGTTATAAATTACCATCATTTTCAAAATATATAAATCATTTGAAATAATTATTTATTTTCAATCTTTCAGCGGCAGGAATCAAAGACACACATACAAACCATATAATTATTATACAAACCGACCAAATCTTATATATTAAAGTTATTCTGACATTTATTGCATTATGAGAAAGTATTCCTGGAGCTGTGCCACTAATAAAGAAATGTGCAGCCCTAGAGAATTGGCCCCTGTGAAGCCCAGGCCTCAACATCGTTCTACCTGTCACATCCTAGCAAATGATTCTGGGATTTCCGATTACATGATGGATCAACCGCAACGCGGCCCCGTGTTCTTGCAGTGATAAAATGATGTACGTTTCTACACGCCAGTAAGATTTCCCCCCAAAGCATCTAGAAGGATAACAAGTACTCCTCAGCAATCATAATCTTATTAAAAAACTGCTAAGCAGAAGGTTTTATAAGTAACTATTTTATACAGAGTCTGAGTGGCCACAGACAGGAAAATGTCTCCCATAGGAAGACAGGCTCGGGAAATATCTATCTGTAATTGAAGGAGTCACCTGAGCTTTGGGACATGCTCTGACTCTCACCTGAAAGCGATAGTGGCATACATGTTGTAAACCCATTAATCTGTTTCACAACATGTGCAATAACATGCACCTCTGACCGCAGGAGGCACTCATTATCGCCCCCTAGGAGTCAATTTTGTGACTAAAGTTTGCATCATTTATAATTACACGGCCCAATAACTGCAAATGATGTTCAAAATTGTAAGCACTGCTTGTAATTATCAGGCTTTGATGACAAAGACAGCATTCAGCACATGCTGCTAAAAGAAAAACTTTTAAAATTTTTATTTTCCCATGCAGTGGGGCTGTGCCCGCACTGCATTAGTTAACTGCTTGTTATGTCCAGGGACGCAAGGAAAAGCTATACTGACCTGATCCTTCAATCCTGTGGAAAACCACACTCCCCCACATCCAGCAGTGGACTGTTCCTGCCATCCTCACATTCAGAGTTGGTCTATAGGCATGATGATGTCAGATTACTAGCGTGTGGGAGGGCAGGTGCTCAGGATCCCCTGCTCACACAGGCAAAGGATTTTTTAATACCAAAGCGCTTTTTAATTTTATTCAATGTGAGTGCATATATTGAACATTTAAATAAAGGCAAGTCTTATAAGGATAAAGCACTATGTCCACATTTCTTTTTTGCTACATGACACTGAGGAACATCTAAGAGGAGTGAGCAGGGGATCCTGAGCAGCTGAAGGAGTGTGAGATCCCTGCAGGGATAACGAGTGTATAAGGAGAGAAGCATTGTGGAGTACATAGGAGGTATCCAACATCTATTCCATGCTGCAGCAAATTCTAGCAGGTTACATGTATGTGAACAAAAAGTGTATTAAGCCTATTTGTTAGGTTTGTAAGGAGGTGAGCGCACATCTTTAATGATTTAAGGATTCACGAAAGGTCAAAATTGGTGTGTTTGGATCACGTCATCACAAATCCCTTTTATTTGGACTATTATTTGAGTAATGGGACGGTTTTTTTTTATTTTATTTGATTCACATCACATTCAACTTGATATTCATTTATGTATGGTATATTGTTTGTTTTTCATGGATATATAATTTGAAGTCACTCATAAGTTTGATGGAGATTGGGAACGCAACATTTTTTAGTTATATGGTCTTTTTTCACAGTTTGAGTATGTGATAAATGTTAGCGATCCAGAGGAATATTTTAGTGGCTCGCAAGTTACACACACATATGATTTGAAATCCCTGCCGCTTTCTTTCCTCTCCTAGCAGTGATGACAGTTCGGGCTAGATGGCATCTGATTGGTCAGCCCGTACACTATAAGCATAGAAGATGTGCTCTAATATATATATATATATATATATATATATATATATATATAGTGGTTTTGAATCTATGTACATTTTCTTTTGTTGCCTTTTACTATGTTGCAGACTATTGTCTCTTTTATGAAAAACTGTATTATTAAATATTGTGAATTTTAATTCAGTTGTTTGTATTCTAAGTGGCCACTAAAAATCCCAGGCCACCTATTTTACTTTTTTGATACGACTATATAGGGCATATATGTGGCACCTTGGGTCCAATTAGGACCATTCATTATCTTCAGTTCACTTTTAGTCCATTCATATTGTTGCCAATCATGCCTTGATGAATGGGGCACTGTTGGACTCTCGAAATGCATTTGATCCTTTTTGGATTGTTCCCCTTTCATCTATTTATAGTATCCCTTATTAAACTAAACCTGATATGAGTCCTTTTGCATACACCATTCTGGACCCCCCTCAGTCTCCTATAGAAGTCGAACAGTCTGCTAACACTATGGGTATATTCTTGATTCCACTTATTTACCAGTTGTATGTTCAAATTACATTCAATACAGGTTTCTCTTTTCCATTACATCTAATTTACTTTCAGTTATCAGGTATGATAAACCCCCAGTTAGCTTTCTCTAAAAACTTTTAGGTATTCCTCCTATATGAATGCATATAATAGAACTCAATTGAAACTCCTTCAAAAAGCATGTAAAAGGTACGAATTAAGAATTTTTTTTTTATATGCACTGTGGGAAATTAAATTTCCTGCTGGGAGTCACGCTGTTTTCTCACTTCAAACACGTGACTATATGGCATAGAAGAAGCATCGAAAAACTCATAAATACTGCATTAGAAAAATACACAGGTTTGCATATTTTCTAAGAGCACACAAATCTGCATGTAAAAAGTGTCAAAATCATGCAATATTTATTAGAAACACCACCACTAAAATAAAGAATGATAATGCAAATAATATCTTATTTTATAGGCATCCTTTACACTCCATTAATGAGTAATTATCTCCGAGGCCTTCAACCTACATTCATACACCTCCTGTAAATCCTACTCTACAGAAGCTCCCTAAAGACTTCTTTAAACACAGCTGACATACAGGACATGAAACATGTTGCCGGAACAAGCCAAGAACAAACTAATATAGATTAATCAATATGGCTCTAAATATAGATGTCAATGTAGAAGCTCCCGTCTTACCGTCTTTATGGTAATAGGTGACCTCGACTTTCCTTTCTTCTGACCCCAGCAAGGCCTGCGCTATCTGTGCAATGTCATGTCTCTTGGTCTCGGGGCCGTGGAGGAAGTCACAGGTGCATGGTTTCTGCATGACATCTGGCCTTGAGAATCCCGTCATCTCGCAGAAGCCATCATTACAGTAAATAATCGCACAGTTCTGAACCCTGGCATTAGCAATAATGAATTTCTTATCTGTAAAAGGAAAATTGGAACACAGTTGTTAGAGTGAACCAAGAAAATTTCAGCAAATAAACAAACATATTTTCAGCCAGTCAAATGTGAATATTTTGCATTTGAATTGACTCACATGACCAAGAATTAAAGCTCTGGTTTAAAAAGAAGATAATCTGTTTTAAGTATATGCAGCACTGGGCAGCTGTAGATTTGACAGGTTCTTTCCCCAGGCAGCACAGAGGCAGCCCAGCACACAACACCAGTTCATCCACTCTTGCCCGGTAATCAGTCTAGGAGTTGTCTTTTTGGAAGTTAATTTTCCAGCAGCACGTGGGAAGATATTTAGGGTGATGTAGGATACTCCAAAGCGAAATATGTTGCTAGCAGAGGACACCTCTTACTTAGCAGCAATAGCACTAGTATAGGTAGACTTAAACAGCCCATGGTTCATGATTGGGGACCACAAAACAGAATGAGTACAAACAAGGGTAGGCTTGAACAGACCTTGGTTCATGGCTGGGGACCATGAATTAAACAGGCTCTACTCATGGAATCCTGGCAATGCTCAGTCCATAGGTGCAGCCTTCAACAAGGTAGTTCAGTCTCTGGTCCAAACAAGGGCTATGCAGAGACAAGAAGTCCCCCTTCCTCTTAGTATACAAATCCATCTTCACAGGGGGAAAAAACAATCCACCCAGGGTTTCAGACTATTTAGCAGCAACCAAGCCACCATCTGTGCACACCTCCTCGCGGATTGGCCAGGTCCTACTAAATATTCAGGCTGGGAATTTGAATTCTCCTTCCCTAAGCTTTAGAAGTTTCTTCTTGAGACAGAGGGCAGCAATCAAACTCCCAGCCTGTGGAGCCCTGAACAGACCAAACTAAACAATTCCTACTCCTGTGATTACAAAAAAAAGGCCAAAAACTAAATTTACCTAACAGCCTAAGGGGAAGAGCATTACATATATATACCTAATTTTAAAAAGTCCCTTCAATTGCTCTAAGACTCCTTCAAATCTCCAAATATCTTTATTTTGCTGCTATGATTTGACTTCTTGTTAGAGTAGCCTTTCTCAACCTTTTTATCTCATAAGGACCTCTAAAATATTTTCAGGTCTCGGGGAACCCTTACTAAATCCAATTTATCAGGGGTCATTTGAGAAAATGCCCTGGTCAGGAGAAGGAATGCAATCCTTACAGACAGCGAAAAAGACCATTGGTGTCATGCTGCTGGCTCTGTCTAATAGAGCTGGCACCATCAAATAGGAGGTCAACTGGCTACAGCTCAAGGAACCCTAGATACCTCTGAAGGAACCTTGGTTAAGAATGGCTGTGTTAAAGGGAGGCTACGTTCATTCACCATGATCCTGCTGTATGTAGGAATGTAGCCACCCCTCTTGCTCACTCCTGAGATGGACTATGGGATTTGTAGTGTGCTTAGTCTACAATCGCCTGAGCTCCCACCTCACCGACAACAACCTTCTTGACCCTTTACAGTCTGGCTTTCGCTCACTACACTCCACTGAAACTGCCCTACTAAAACTCACTAATGATCTACTAACAGCTAAAACCAATGGCCACTACTCCGTACTCTTACTACTTGACCTCTCTGTGGCTTTTGATACGGTTGACCATCCCCTCCTCCTCAAAAAACTCCACTCTCTTGGCCTCAGAGACTATGCTCTCTCCTGGTTCTCCTCCTACCTATCGCAGCGCTCCTTCGGCATTACCTATAATGCTGCCTCCTCCTCTTCACTCCCTCTTTCTGTAGGGGTCCCTCAAGGTTCTGTCCTTGGACCCCTTCTCTTCTCCATCTACACCTTCTCCCTTGGTCACTTGATAAAATACCATGGCTTCAAGTACCATCTCTATGCTGATGACACACAAATCTATCTTTCTACCCCTCACCTCACCCCTTCAGTCTCCTCTCACATTACTAACCTACTAAGTGACATATCGGCATGGATGTCACTCCACTTCCTTAAACTCAATCTTTCCAAAACTGAGCTCTTAGTATTATCTCCAGCCCATGCCCCCTCCCCTGACTTCTCCATCAAAATCAATAACACAATCATCAGTCCCTCCCCTCATGCCAGGGTACTAGGTGTAATCCTAGACTCCCATCTGTCCTTTCAGCACCAAATCCAATCACTGTCCAAATCTTGTAGACATGAATGCTGCTGCCAGACTCATCCACCTTACTAACCGTTCTGTATCTGCCATCCCTAGCTGCCAATCCCTCCACTGGCTTCCCATTGCACAACGGATAAAATTCTAAACATTAACAATAACGTATAAAGCCATTTATAACTCTGCCCCAAATTACATCACCGATCTTGTCTCTAAATATCACCCAAACCGTACTCTCCCCTCCTCACAAGACCTCCTACTCTCTATCTCCCTTGTCTCCTCCTCCCATGCTCATCTCCAGGACTTCTCCAGAGCTTCCCCCATCCTGTGAAACTCTCTACCCAATTTATCAGAGTATCGCCTACTCTGCTCACTTTTAGGCAATCTCTGAAAACCTCTCTCTTCAGGGAAGCCTATCCTGCCCTCAGCTAATACTGGAATCTTCTACTTTTCCAACCAGTCCATCCCCCACAGTTACTACCTTTTGCACCACTAGCCCCTCCCTCCTAGATTGTAAGCTCCAAGGAGCAGGGCCCTCAAATCCCTCTTGTATTGAACTGTATTGTTGCTGTATTGTCTCCTGTTATATTGTAAAGCGCTGAGCAAACTGTTGGCACTATATAAATCCTGTGTAATAATAATAATCCTGCTGTATGTAGGAATGTAGCCACCCCTCTTGCTCACTCCTGAGATGGACTATGGGAAATGTAGTGTGCATTGAGCAGTGCACATGACTGCATATAACATGCACTACTCAATCCAAACAAAAATGGAAGAAAATGGAAAAGGGAGAGATTTGGGGGTTCAAGGAGGATGTTACATGGAAGAAGAAAAACACAGTGAGAAACTTGATATTTATTTAACTTTGCCAAACAGCCTGTTGTTCCATGTAAGATGGCATATTAGGAAACTGTAGGCACCATAATAAGAAAACGGATTGCTGGACAGGTAGGCCTGTTTCAAAATACTGCTCTCTAGTATGTCACCTTTTTTTAAAAGTGTATGTCAGGGGAAATAAAAAAAAACATATGTACTACATCTCTGCAATACATGTACGATTCCATGTTTTACCCCTTTAACCTCTGGCTAACCACATATTACACATGTGGGATGACAAAGAGGGTTGGCTTCAACTCCTACAATTCACACATATGCGCCCTTGGGTGGCCAAGGTTTCACAGACAGCTCTCGGTCTCTAATAATGATTAGTAACCAGATGGACTGGTCCCCAATCATGTTACCACTGTGAAAACCAATCACAGTTATCATGTGATTAGGCAGTCCTTCCCACCTGCCTAGTGTAAATATCCACTTGAAGGAATGTCGGGGCTGGGCGGGAAGGGGGTTACAGACCCTGCAAGTACAAAAGAATACCTATCGATCTGCCAGAAATGTACTCAACTCCCAAGCCTAGGTGTGAGCTGACAACACAGCATTTTTTATAGACTGAGTGATGTCAGCCCTGACCAGTTTTCTTTTGCTAAACTACTCAATCCAACCCAATCACCCATCTCCACAACAGAGCCACCAATCCCTCTGTAGTCTCAAGGTAAGAACTAGGAGGATTATTTAGACTCCTTGAGATAACACAGGAAGTGTGCACAGGACACGACAGCTTCAAATTCATGACATCTACAACCGGTACTTACATAAACCTATTCATACTCAATACTTTCAGTCATATCTTTAACAGATAAAAAGGGAGCAAATAAGAAGAATTTGTTACAGGTTTACATAAGACTAAGCTCTGTGGGTGGAGCAAAACGCGTCGCAGGGCATGGCCTGGGAGGAGTCAGGCTAAAGCTGCTTAAATGTTTCCATACACTTGTGCTGTTTTCTTGGAGTACAGCACTTCATCCTTTTCCTTCCCATGTAGGTTTACATACACTTTCAATATTTTCAGTGTGTGGGGCAGGCTCTTGGGAGTCAGGGCAGCAGCATTATTTTGCTGGGAAATAAATTAATGTACGCATAAGGAGTGGTTCAGAGAGGGACTAGAGGATAGGTGCAATTCTGTAGTCCAGCAGACAGGACTGACAATGCTACTTGGCAATTCAGTGCAGTAAAGTAGCATCAGCTAAGTGTTGTGAGCGCAAATAATAAGGACCACAGCGGATTTTAACTCAAGTAATGAGCATGCTGGACTTTTGGCAGCTCAACTGTTATTTTTCCATACTTGCTGCATTTTTAAAATGACAAAACATGGAGAAATGAGCATGAATTACAGAGATGTACTGATATATCCTTTAAGAAGAATATATTGTGCTTTTCATAATTGAAATAACTGCAATTAACTGATAAAAAAGGTTTTCATCATTGTATATGAATAAATGCTCCCTGTTCATGTATAGTTTAGAATATTTTTCTGGTTCTAGTTTATTAAAAAGAATAGACTTTCCAAATACACTGAACATATTAAGCTAATTATATCATCCGTCTGCATTCATTTCCCAGTGTCAGTCGTGCTAATATGACTTAGTTAAAGAATTAGCGGATGTCACATGTGCCAGGATCTGGTGGACTATAATCTAGAAGGCAGTAAGTTTATATGTAGCAGAATATATCAATTTCCTTCTGAATAATTTTAACATTCCATCACAATCAGCCGACATGTTCTTGCCCCTTCAGTGGATCAGTGGAGATAAATCGTTCTGGCACAGCAATTCTCTTTTATGACTAGAATAGGTAACAGCTTTTTAATAAAGTTATTATGTTTTCAAGAAGACTCAAAAGAACATAGATGGAAATTGTTAACGATACATTTCCTTGTATACACAATGCAATAGGAGATTTGGGAATGTTGCTAGGTTGTTGAAAATAACTTTAAAGGGCTTGTTTACACCAGCGGGTGCGGTATACCACAGCCAATGGTGTGCGCTGTGAAGGAA